ATAAATAAATAAATCTTAAAAAATAAAAAATAAATAAAAATTAACATCTTAAAAAAAAAAGAGAAAACTATAGATCAGTATGCTTCCTAAATGTAGATTTAAAAACCCTTAACAAAGTTTTAGCAAATAGTATTCAATCAATGTAATCCATCACATTAACAGGCTACAGAAGAAAAAGCATGAACATATCAACTGATGTAGAAAAAAATATTGACAAAATTCAATCCCTGCCCATTCATGTTAAAAACTCTCAGAAAAATAGGAACACAGGGGAACTTTCTCAACTTGATAAAAGCCATCTATAAAAACCTACAGCTAATATGAAACTTACACGTAAAGGACAAATGCTTTCCCCCCAAGACTGAGAACATAGCATGAGGTCTGCCCTTGCCACTCTTATTCAACACAGTGCTGGAAGTTATAATTTGTGAAATAAGGCAAGAAGGGGAAATAAAGGGATACAGCTTGGAAAGGGTGAAACAAAACTGCCCCCATTCACAGATGACATAAATCGCTACATAGAAAATTCCAGGGAATTTAACCCCTCCCCCCAAACCTCCTAGGAATAGTAAGTCAGCTGAACAAGGTCATAACATAGAAGACAAGTATACAAAAGTTGATTGTAATTTCCATATGCCAGCAACAAACATGTGGACACAGAAATTAAAAACACAAAAATGTCATTTACAGTCACTCAAAAAAAATGCTTAAATATAAACCTAACAAAATACGTACAGGGCTTATATGCTGGAAACTATAAAACACTCATGAAAGAAATCAGTGAACGCACCATACACAAAAATCAACTCAAAATGGATTAAAGAACTAGACATAAGACCTGAAACCATAAAATACATAGAAGGAAATACAGGCGAAACACTACATGATATGCACATCAAAGACATCTTTACAGACACATCACCCAAAGCAGTGATAGTGAAGGCAAAGATCAACAGCCGGGACTTCATCAAATTAAAGAGCTTCTGCACAGCAAAAGAGACAGTAACCAAAACAAAGAGAAACCCCACCAACTGGGAGAACATTTTTGCACACAACACTAATGATAAAGGACTGATCACAAAAATCTGCAAAGAGCTAATGAGACGCAACAAAAACAAAGAAAATAATCCAGTCAAAAAATGGGCAGAAGAGCTAAAAAGAAACTTCTCTGAAGAGGAAATGCGAATGGCCAACAGGCATATGAAAAAAAATGTTCAACATCACTTGTAATCAGGGAAATGCAAATCAAAACTACCATGAGATACCATCTTACACCAGTGAGAATGGCACATATTAAAAAAACTAGCAACAACAAATGTTGGCGAGGATGTGGAGAATAAGGAACTCTCCTGCACTGTTGGTGGGAGTGCAAACTGGTCCAACCACTATGGAGAGCTGTGTGGAGATTTCTGTACCTACTAAACATAGAGCTTCCACATGATCCAACAATTCCACTCCTAGGGATTTACCCAAAGGACACAGAAACATCAATTCCAAAGAGCACCTGCACCCCTATGTTTATAGCAGCACTGTTTACAATAGCTAAGCTTTGGAAACAACCCAAATGTCCAAAAATAGATGACTGGATCAAGAAGATGTGGTACATATACACCATGGAATATTACTCAGCGTTCAAAAAAGATAAACAAATGCAATTTGCAGCAACATGGATGGCGCTGGAAGGGATCATGCTCAGCGAAATAAGCCAGAAAGAAAAAGAAAAATACCGGATGGTCTCACTCATAGCAGGAATCTGGAAAACTTAAATAAGGGACCAGGAAAGTGAATAACTCTAAGAAAGTGAAAATCAAAATCAACAAACAACTATGAACCAGAGACACTCTATGGGGGTTGGGGGGCAGGGAGGGGAGGGATTGGGGTCAAAATAAGGGGGTTGCAATTGTATGGGGAATATTAAAAAAAATTTGTTTAAAAAAAGAAAAAGAAATCAGTGAACGGGCCTCCCCAGTGGCGCACCGGTTGAGTGCTGGGTTGTAGTGCTGCCCACAGCCTCTGCAGCTCCGGTTCGATCCCTGGCCGCCAGGCGAGGGTCCCACATGGCACGCAGACCTTTCCTGCCCCCTGCTTCTCCCCTCAGCAGTGTATTTCCTCAGTCTGCCTGTTCTGCTCCCCGCTCTGGCTCTGGTGAATTCACTCACCCTCCCACGCTTCTGACTGTACCCAGTGCTTGTATAAATAAATAAATATATCTTTAAAAAAAATAAATCAGTGAAAATTTAAACAAATGGATATGCATACCCAGGTGTTCATTAATTACAAGACTCAACATAGTAAAGATGCCAATTCTCCCCCAAGTTGATACATGGATTTAACATAATCCTATAAAAATCCCATCAAGACTCTTTGTAGATCTTGATAAGATTATAGAAACACAGGGGAATTTGAATAGCTAAAACAATCTTAAAAAAGAAGTTGAAGGCAAGGGTCTACTACTTTCAAGACTTATTATGTTACGTAACTATAGTCATCAAGACTGCTTTTTGTTGGTAGAGGGATAAACAAATAGATTAATGGAAGAAAATGGAAAGCCCAAAAATAGACCCACACAAATGTACTCAACTGGTTTCTGATGAAGGTGTAAAACCAATTTAATGGAGGAATGAAGATCCATAAGAAAAGAATGAACCCAACCTATTTCTTAATTCTTACACAGAAATAAACTAAAAATGAACCACAGATTTAAATTTAAACCCAAAAGCGATAAATCTTTAAGTCAAAGGAACAGGACAAAGTCTTTGGGATCTAGGGTTAGACAAAGTGCTCTTGACAAGAAAGTCATGATTCACAGAAGGAAAAAGTGATAAATTGGACTTCATCAAAATGAAAAAGTTTTGCTCTGAGAAGTATCAGATAAAGTGATGAAAAAAAAGAAATCACAGTGTGTGAGAAAAGATTTGCAAGTCACATATCCAATAGAGAACAAGTAGAATATATAAAGAACTCTTATAACTCAACAGTAAATAAAAGCTCAATTATAAAATGGGCAAACGACAAACATTTTACCCGAGAGGATGTGGCACAGATGGCAGATGAACGCATGAAATGATGAGTGTGAGGAACCATTAGGGAAGTACAAATTAAAACCATATTGAGGTGTCACTATACACGTATCACAATGACCAAAATAAGAAATTATGACAACACCAGATGCTGATGAGAATGCAGAAAAACTGGATGGCTCATCTTCTGCTGGTGGGAATATACAATAATACAGCCACTCTGGAAGATGTTTTTTTTTTTAAAAAAAAAAAAAAAAAAAACAATATCATTCAGTAATTGCAATCCTGGGCATCTTCCCAGTGAACCCAGTGACTTGAGTTCACTCCCAAACCTGTGTAGAGCTGTTTGTAGCAAGTTTATTTGTGATAAATCCCAACTGGAACAAGTCAGATGTCCTTCAACAAGTGAATGTTAAAACAAACAACAGTACATCTACTTCGCAGAATACTCTTTCAATGAAGGGGAGTGAAAATTTGGCATATGCAACATTTTAGACAAATGTCCAGTTTCCTCTTTTGTAACAAGGGAAAGGTTGTCTTCAGTCTTCCTGTTTAGGAATCAAGATACAGATGAGCAGGGTGAGGCAGGAAAAGAATATATTTGAAAAAGCTTAATATTTTTCTTTTCGGTTTTAGAACCTTTAGAGCTTCAAAATAATCAGAAAGAGATGGCTTCATGGGGCCTCCCTCGTGGTGCAAGAGGTTAAGTGTCAGCACTATGAAGCTATCAGCAGCCACTGCAGCACAAGTTCGATCCCTGGCCAGGGAACTGACCCACATGGCGCAGCAGACCTCTCCTGAATCGCCCGCTGCTCCCCTCAGCAGTGTGTTTTACTAGATTGCCTGTTCTGCTCCTCACTCTGTCTCTGGTGAATCCTCTCAACCCCCACCTGGCGTACACCTCAGTTCTTGTATGCATAAATAAACAAAATAAATCTTAAAAAAAAAAAAAGAAATGCCTTCATGATTGCCAGCTGTCACGCTTCCTGGGCACCCGAGAGTACCCATTTCCAAAGCCAGGAGAAGAGTCATTTAGGGTACCAGCGATTAGGTGAGGGCAAGCTGAGAGGTCTGCTAGTTATGGTGAATGACTTTAAGGGGGGTGGCGATTACATTCTTACACTGAGGTAAGACAAGGTGGAACTGAGACCTAAACAGAGAGGATTCTGTATTCCCAAGCCATAAGGACGTCTTTGTTCTGATACACAAAATTAAGGATTCACAGCTCAAAGGACCCAAAAAGCTGGAGAAAGCCACGTTGCATCCTGAACACTAGGCATAATGGTCGGTCCACTGTGAGAGCACATGGAGCTAGCGGTGTAATATTTGTGCTGTCGTTCTCTAGCATGGCTTGGAAAGGAAGCCACTTTTACTTGGAAAGTAAGAGTCCATGAAAAAAAAAATTACTATTACAAAAATTTATTCAACACAGAAGTTCAATGAGAAAATGTTCATGGCCCAGTTTTTAGCATCACAGTAAAAAGATGCTATGGAGAGGGGACATGTGGAAGCAGTTGATTTCTCCGGTGAACACAGCCACTGTTTATACTCGTTCCAAGGCTTCTAATATGATGATACGATTTCCTGGCATTACTACCATTCCAAAGTTGTTGGCATTGCCACACACTCATCTATCCAGATTCATAAAGGGATTGAATCCCCGCTGTATTCCCTGAACACATCTGCCACCATTTAATTTCAACGATAACTTTTTATCCATCAATTTTTTCCAATTAGGAGGGGGTGAGGTGAGCTTTGCTCATGGTGTCTATTTGCAAGCTCGAAACCACCTCCAAAGGAAATCCGCGTCTTCTCTCCTCACTGAAAAATTCTACCAGCCCAACTGTCACACGTAAGGTGCCATGCAGCATCTCACCCAGGTTCTGGAACCTCTCCCCCCCACCCCTGCCTGAACACCGGTTGCTACGGGGCCTCAGGGGGCATGGCTAGAGTCTCCCAGCAACCAATCATAGTGCCAGACGCATTGGGGGTGTGGCCACGGAGAGACAGTGGCCAATGGTAGAGAGGACCATGGACAGAGCCAGAGCAAGGGCCAGGGAGGTTGAGCGGTGAAGACCGCAGCCGCTGGTGGCGGTTGAGGACCTCTGACCACCGTAGTGGTCCTAACGGTTACTCTGAATCATAACCGGTACGTGAGCCGCCACCAAAGTCCAATTTCGACATGATGATGGAAGATCCACAGAGCGAGCATCAGCGAATGGTGCGCCGCCACCACCGTGAGAAGAAAGAGCTGAAGGCCCAGATCCAGGCCATGAAGAACTCGGTGCCCAAGAATGACAAGATGAGGAGAAAGCAGTTACTCCTCGACGTGGCCCGCCTTGAGGCCGAGCTGGAGCAGAAGCACCAGCAGGAGCTGGAGAAGTTCCAAGAGAACTTCCCTGACAACAGCAGCCAAGTTGACTCCGTCGCCGAAGACCTGGCCAAGATGGATCTGGAGAACCAGCCCCCCCATCTGACCCGGGCACAGAGAAGGCGTGAGCGGAGGGCAGCCCTCGAGAGGGAGCGGCTGGAGAGGATCGCTGAGGCCGAAACAGAGGACCTGGCCAGCTTCCGCCACGAGGAGGAACAGAAGCTGGCCGCCATCCTGGGGGCCAAGAACCTGCAGATGAAGGACATCCCTGCCGACGGCCACTGCATGTACCGCGCCATCCAAGACCAGCTGGTGTTTGCTGTGACCCTGGAGTGCCTGCGGGGCCGCACTGCAGAATACCTGCGAAAGCACGTCGACGAGTTCCTGCCCTTCTTCAGTGACCCCAAGACTGGCGACGGCTACAGCCTTGAAGCCTTCATGGGCTACTGTGACGACATCGTGCGCAGCGCGTCGTGGGGCGGCCAGCTAGAACTCAGGGCCCTGTCGCACGTCCTGCAGACCCCCATCGAGGTGATCCAGGCCGACTCGCCAGTCGTCGTCATTGGGGAGGAGTACACCAAGAAGCCTCTCGTGCTCGTCTACCTGCGCTATGCCTGCAGCCTCGGAGAGCACTACAACTCGGTGAAGCCGCTCGATGCCTGTGCCATCGGGGGTGCACCGCGGCTCTTCTAGGCCCACCCGGCCTTGCTGCTCAGGTCCCAGGGATGGAAGCTGCCACCACATCTCCCCAGTAGGCTCCATGTGTCCCCTGTTTTCTCCTTCCTTGTACTCCAATTTCACTTACCCTGCTACTCCAAGCCCACCCACCCCCAATCCCACTTCCCTACCTCGCCATTCTAATCCCCTGGCTCTCCATCCTGGCTCTGGCTTCTGCCCAGGTGCGCTGGGAGGTGGGGTGGAGTGAGTGACACATCCACCCTCCGGGAAATCTCCGCCCAGTTCTCCCCCATGGGAGTAAGTTTGATAAGTGCTAACCAACCACTTCTGCTCTCCCTGCCCAGATAAGCACTAGTCCCGTTGCTAATTAATAAATTGGGGGTGAAAAATGTAAATAAGGCCGGATGCATTCACCTGGGGGAACATCAGTTTAGTTTGGAGGCTTCCGATTGTCCCATGAATATATTGGATTTCTTAGCTACAAGTTGGAGTTTCTGTGATCAGAAGTGTCTAGTGAATGCCTTTTGCTTAGTTCTTTGAAAAAATGTTGTCATGGGCTGGGTGGGGATTTGCTATTTGCTGTTCTACTCTTGGAAGCGTCTCAAATTACAGCGAAAGCTCCCAGAGTACTTTTGGTTTCTTCTTCATAAAGATGTGTGATTCCAAATTAACTTGTATTGCTTAGATGTTTGCTATATTCTAAATAATAGATTTTTAAGAAGTTTGTTCAGTTTGGAAGTTAAATGTTTTCAGTATAGAAAGGAAATTTACAGAAATTGATAGGCTACATAAGGTTTACTCTGACATTTGAATGATCTCAACAGTTTCCTTTATTAAAGATGGGGCAGGATATGTCTTGATTCTAGTAGTAGTGGATCCATTTCATTATTTCTACAATTGTAAAGCAAAAAGAAACAAACTGATATAGTTTCAAAGGTGAAGATATGAACTAGCAACTTTCCTATATTTTCAGAGACATGAAAGAGTATGACTTTATTCAAGTAGTTGGTCCACTTTGTTATAATTACCACTGGTATGAAATGTGATAGATCTGGACTTACTAACTTTCTTGAATTATTAGAATTAGAAATGTCTTTGAAAAAAGCTTTTAGAAAGTTCAAGCATTTTGTTATATCTACAACTGACATGAAGCAAAAAGCATGAGCAATGTACTTTTGTTGATATGTGAGACTTATTGATACTTTGAATTTACCAATATAATGGTAAAAATAAAATGATTTTTAGTATATAGTTGGAAAATGTCTTAATCTTCAAAACCTGTATTTCAGTGGTTACTTAAATTCATTAAAAATGTTTTTGTGCACACCAAATGTTCTAAGACAAATTATATAAATTTAAAAAATTAAATATATATTGTCATTTGTTTAAAAAATAAAGTTTTTTAAAACCTGGTTCTCTATTTTTCTGTAGCTGCTTTAGTTCACAGAAAGTTTGTATCCCAAGATCTACTTCAGCAAAGGAATCCTTCCTTGTTGAGGGAACAGTTTTGGGTAGACAGATGAGGCTTTGGGGAGGAGGGATCAGGGCCTGAGATCTTGGTAGTGGTCTGAAGTGCAATGTTATGGAGGAACTTTATCTTGAGGTTGTCCTGAGTTGATGTTTCCCTCCATTAAAAAAATCACCCTACATATGGATGTCGTATTGCTATAGGCCTTGGTTTTGTTTTTTGGCCTTTTGGGGCTTTTTGGCAGCTGTTAGAGCCTGGGCAGGTGGGATCCCACTCCATTCCAGCCTATCCTGGTACCCTATCCTCCTGCCCTGAATGCCCCTGTTGCACTGGAAGAGGGATCCCACTTGGGAATAAGAGCATGCACCCTGACAGAGAGACGGGCTGAGGAAGGGCATGCACAGTTGAGAAAGGAGACCTAGCTAAGGAGGGGCACAGAGGATAGGGGTGGGGAGTCTGGATAAGGAAAGGGTACTGAAAGGTTCAGCACGGTAAAGAAAAGGAGAGCCAGGCTAAATTTCTCAAAGGGAGGGAAAGTTTATTGAGCCCCGGAGGACCTCAGGCACCCAAGGTGGGGGTCAGTGGGCAGGTATCCGCATTCCTGCCCCCCAGGTGGGCTTCCGGGTAGGCTTTTGCATTGTGGCCTGCTGCATGTACCTTTCATACCAGCCTTTTGTTGATAGGAAAAGGGGCGACAGTTCTTTCTTTGGCTACTTCCTGCTGAAAAGGGGCGAAGACCAAGGGGGTGGCTCAGGCCTGGTTATGAGGGTCTTCTGCAGGGATTGGAGAATATGGGTGGAGAAGGAGTTGGTTAAAGGTGGTAGGAGACATTTCCCGAATGCGAGCCTGTATGAATTTTAGGAGGCAAGGAGCGAAAAGAAAACATAAGGTTATAAGGTTATTGTTAGTATTGGTCCCAAGAGTGGGAGGAGCCATGACACTATAGGATTTTGAAACCATGTCAGTGGAGAGTTGGAGTCCCCGGTTTTACTAGAAATAACATTCTTCCCTGAGGAACAGGCAGGTACCCCCTTTATTAGCTGTTAACAAGTCCAGAGCCCACCGGTTTTGGAGAGTGACCCGTGCCAGGGAGGTGAGCTGTCTTTGTAATGATGCTAAAGACACATAGGTTTTTTCTAAGGAGGTATCCTTTCATAAAATTCCTGGGCAGAAATCAGGCTGTGTTCCAGGGCCCCACCCGCCATACTTGCAGCTGCTATCGATGATGCCAGGCTGATTCCAACCATGATTGGAAGAAAGGCTGCCCGCTTAGTCTGATGTGGTAAGAATAACCAACCTAGCTCAGAACGTCTGTACAGAGTTAACTGTGGGACCACGAGGACTTGGATACGTGGGCCTGGAGTAGCAGAATTAATACACTGAGAGAGACAGCCATTGCACCAGAAAAAGTTTCCCTTTGCTGTTGTTCGGAGCATAGAAGTAACCGAAATGTTAGAAGCACAGGAATGAAAGCTGACAAGGGCATCAGTTTGATAGCAGGGGTAGCTGTGATTGGAGTCCCCTAGGGTGAAAGAGAGTTGGGGAGTCTGGCAAGCAGCGTCCGTTATCTTGGTCGTAGTGGTATTGAGATTCATTGGAACTGCCGCCAGTAGAGGCCTCTGAAGGGAAGCACAGAGGAAAACAAGAGAGGTGTTAGTCCCAAAAGAGTCATTTAGGAAGGGTATAGCGTTTTGGATTATATGAATCCAGGTTGAGGGTGTCTCGGTCTTTTCTGATGATGTTAGCTGATTTTATAGGATTTGTTCTGAATGGAGGATGCCCTGGGAGACTTGGACTGTGGCATTTTGTGTAGGGACATATTCCCTTGAGATGGACAGTGTTGCCACTGGATAGGAATGCCAGCCAGTGTACCCTGCGGCTTGGACTCCCTGTACCCAACGTTGGTCCCAAGGATCTGAAATAGCATAGCTAACTTGATTCATATTGAAGCCTGTATTATGACGGACCAGAGAGAACATTTGGCCTTTGTCTGGAAGGTGCACTGTGCATGACTGGTAAGGGCACCCCCCATATTTTCTATAGGTATTTTTGCAGTGATCTAAGGTTTGATGGTAAAGAAACAAAACAAGGTGTTCATAGGGTTAGTAATCGATGAAAGAGTTAGGGTGAGAGTGACAGGTGCATCTGGCCTGTGGGCACTCCGCAGTACCCACCTAGTGGGTGGTCTCAGTGGATCCTGAGACAAAGGTCTCCCTAACTTTGAATTTCCATACACAGGACACTGAGCTAGGGGAGATTTTGACAAGAAATGCACATCCTAGTAGGACCCAGGTTATGACATACATACTGTTTGTCTTCAGGGGCACATTTGACCCGTGATAAATGGTGCCAGGAGGGGTGTCCCAGAAGTTTTACCGCTGTAGGCGTGTTGAGAATGACCGTGTGTGGGCCGGTCCACCAAGGCTGCAGTGGCTTTGGCTGACGCGATTTGAGCAGGCCTTGGTCTCCTGGATGCAGTGGTGGGGAAGGTTGGTTGAGGAGGTCGAGATCCGAGGCAGGACTGGGTAACTACTGGTCTGCGTGTTCCTGGAGCAGTTGCCTGATCGATGGTAACAGTGGCCTAGGCAGCCCTCCGCTGACCGCGCGCACCTTCTCAAGAGCTGTCAGTCTACAAACACAGGAGGCATCTGACAAAGGAGAGTCAGTCTGGAGGTTTGCATTTCTTCCAGGATTTTAGGACACGAATGAATGGCAGAAGGTGGCCAGAGACAGGCAGGAGAGTGGCTGGGTTGAGAGAATTAGACTGAGTGAGACTCACCAGAGGGTTTTCAATAAAGAGCATATAGAAATACTGTAAACGGGAAGGAGTAAGAGTGGAGAGCAAGCGGGGAGACAGGATGTCCTGAAGGCAGTGCGAGGAATGTACTTGGACAGGTCTTCCCAGAGTAAGTTTGAGGGGTTCCCGGGTGAGTTGGGCTGCCGCTGCCAGGGCTCTAAGGCAGGGTTGCCAGCCCCTGACAGTGGAATCCATCTGCTTGGAGAGATAAGCAACAGGACGCAGAGCTAGGCCCAGAGGCTGGGAAAGGACACCTGCCACCATACCCCGACGTTCGGCTGTGAACAGGAGCAAAGGCTTTTCTGGATCAGGAAGGGTAAGGACAGGTGCCTTCAGAAGGATATGTGTGAGTAAAAGGAAGGCCCTGAGGACTCCCCAGAGGACTGGAGACGTCCTTCAGGGAGACTCTTGCTGCATCATATAGTGGCTTGGCTAAGGAAGCAAAATTAGGGATCCAGTGTCAGAAGAATTCAACCAAACCTAGGAAAGAAAGGATTTGTTCTGCTGATTCAGGGGAGGGAAGGTCCCGGATTGTCTGCTTGTGGTCCACCATTAGCTGTTTGGAGGAAGGAGTTAGTCAAAGACGCAGATAGATGACTGTGGGAACTGAAAGTTGAGCTTGGGATGGGGAGGCAGTATCCTTTGGAGCACAGGAAGCTGAGGAGCTGTGCAGTGTGTTGCTGAGACAGTGGCAGAGCAGGACGGCAGAGGAGGAGGTCAGCAACACACTGGAGGAGAGTGCGGGGTGGAGTATGACATGTCGAGAGATCACTGGCTAATGCCTGACCAAACAGATGAGAGCTGTCCCGGGAACCCTAAGGCAGGACTGTCCAGGCCAGTTGTTGGGAGGCGTGTGTCCGGATTTTCCCAAGGACAAGCGAATAGTAAGTAACATTGAGGATCCAGAGGGATGGTGAAAAAGGCATCTTTGAGGTTAAGCACAGAGAAGTGTGTAGTAGAAGACGGTATATTAGACAGAAGGGTGTAAGGGTTTGGCACTACGGGATGGATAGGCACCACCACTTCGTTAATGAGGCGAAGGTCTTGAACTAGGCAATAAGAACCATCATGTTTTTTTTTTTAATGGAGAGAATGGGAGTATTACAGGGCGAGTTGATACGAGTAAGGAGTCCCTTTCCCAGAAGTCGTTGGCTGATGGGTTTGAGACCCTGACGGTGAATGAGTGAAATTGGAAACTGGGGGTGAGAGGGAAAAGAAGAGGGATCCTTAAGGCGAATGAGGACTGGGGTATGATGGGTGGCAACAGGATAGAGATATTTCAGAACATGGGGTTGACAGTGGAAGGAGACAATGGGTAGTCCTGAGAAGGATTAGGAGATGTTTGGAGTCGTGGGAGGATGAGAGCAGCGCTAGGGTGTTGGAACCATGAGAGAGTAGCCCTGAGTTTGGTCAGAAGATTGTGACCCAGGAGTGGTGTGGGGCAAGAAGGCATGACTAGGAAAGAGTGGACCAGTGGTCCTGAGCCGAGAAGGAAGGCCGTCAACAACCGTAACCGAGGCCTGAGAAGGATAAACTTGACCGGAATAAGAGGGGAGGACAGAGAAGGTAGCCCCCGTGTCAACCAGAAAGGAGATGGACTTACCTGCTACCTTGACCGTTACCCTGGGCTCCTCAAAGGTTATCGGAGTTGATGAGTCCAGGCCTCTTCAGTCCTCAGCCGCCAAACCCAAGACCGCCGGTGGCAAGAGTTGCAGGGGCTGGAAGGACTGGCCCACCACAGCCAGGCGTGGAGGGACAGTCACTTTTCCAGTGACCCTGGACGTTTCAGATG